CGTGAATTAACAATGGTTTGATAGGGATCATTGTTCAGATGATTTTTTCAAGTCAGCATTGATTTTCGAGTTTTATTATAATCAATGTTGATGTTTTACTTTTTAGAAAATGATTTCTTTCGAAAATCAAATTCAATCTCTATAAATTGGAAACTCAAGCATTTTTGAGGTACTGAAAATTTGTCGAATGAACCATAAAACCTCAAAAATACTTCAGCTAATTTAAAATTGATTTTCCAAATAGTAGAATTTAAAAAAAAATTACAGTGTGGTGTGAGGGTGTGAGGTGTCGGTGTTGGTAGGTGTGGATGTCGGGGTGAAAATGAAAGATTGGACCAGCATATCTACAGCCACACTTACACCCTTAATGGTAGATAAAACAGATGGGCAGATTGACGAGGGCAGTCAGATGGGTGTAGGATAATAAAGAGAGATTGTTATAAATGCTAGTTAAAGGGCTCAATAGTTAGAAATAGATACGTGGATAGTACGAACGTATCAAATGGTCGGACGGAAGAACAGCTATACGAGAATAGCTGTTTAGTGGATGTTTGATAAACCTATTAGTAGTTTATTGAATGCAGTAGAAGAATTGCGCCAAGGAACCCTTTTTTTAGAAATGAAAGAAGTCGGTCTGCACGGAACCTTGTTTATACGAAACCTTATTGGGTTTCGATTTTATTTCAAAATTCGGAACCGTTCGTAAGGTTTCGTATGGTAGCTTTTTTTTCAGTGTAGAAAGAAATAACACCAAAAGTAAAATATGTTGGATGAATAAATATCAAAAGTGCTATTAATGCAGCCTCAGCATACCATTTCATCAATATCGCATGAATAATATTTGCTGCATAATTTATGCGTTGTATTCACTTATAAATAACGCCTACTAAAAGCTGCATTAGCAGTGCTTTCGTCATTTTTCACTTTCGGCGCTTTTTGCTTCTACTATATCGGCTTGAGCGAGCGTAATGCGATGACGTTTTGGCCACAGTATTATTAACTCTACTTAGCAATTAGATTACCTAATAAGTTCGTTCTTTCGATAGAAAATGTATCTCTGCCTTCTCCATAACTTCTGAAAATACGAGCTTATTTGAATGAGCCGTTTGAAAATTAGAGCAAAAATGATGACGTAACGCGATGACGAAAAAAGGACAAAAAGTTGATGATGATGTGTTTGTTCTTCATTTTCCTTCAATGTGTGTTGTATTAAAATAAACGTCCTATAGACGTTTTGTGCCATACCTATGCCTGTGTAAAGACAAGATTTTATTTTGATATTAACGATCACAGTATGCAGATGTTACTTGCTATAGGTATTGATTCTTCTAATGCAAGAGATTCCTAAGAAAGAAAGAATTAGTTTGACTAATATGTCTACTAGTGTTTATATTCACTGAATATGAGGGAAAAAAGCCTTATTAAGAATGAGGAAGAGTGAGCACATAAAACACATAATTTATCATGTCTATGCATAAATACTATTTTTTAACTCAGATTCGAATAAAATATATCCAAGCTATATATAAATAGAATTTTCTCTAGTCAAATAGTCATATAGTATAGAAACTATAAACGATTTTGATTGATAACTTAATTTTAATCTGAAAATTATCGACTTACGAGACCAAGCTAATATACTCTTATGGCAATTTATTAGTAATTAATAAAACAACTCATTACTCATAATTTACAATGATTTTTGAATAATAAAACACTATTCAAAAATTTTCTCTTACAAATAGGAAAAATGCTGAAAAAAGGTAAGAAAAACATCATCGCGATATGTAAAAATTTTATAAAATGGAATCTTTTTCGGATAAAAATACATGCATTGGAAAGCCCATAAAAAATTAGCTTTAGGTATATATTTTTGGTAAAAATAGATTAAGACGAATTGGCGAAAAATAAACTACACATATTTTTCGTTACGCGATGACGTTATAAATACGCTAGTGTTCGTTAAGCTCGCTACGAAAAAGTATGACACATAAAAAAATCACATATTGCGCCAAAAGATACGTCTGTTATTGTAGTCTTAATCAACTTTATATATATCGTGCTGTTTCAATATATAGATCAGCTTAATCGATCGCCTAAATAGAGGATTTTACTCTCTATATGAGGGACCTCTCTTTTAACAACTACTAAATGTGATTTACAAGACTTAATAACAGAACAAAATATGTTTTCATATGCTCTACAAGATGACAATAATGGGTTTTTAAAATGTTGATTTCAGCATCACCGCCCTTGAGGTGGCGCGTTAGGCGCTCAAGCCGATATGTATACACGGTGAACGTGATTGTTATAGTTACATCATAACAATTCATCATCTTCACCTGCTGTATGTTTTTGGGTGAGCTTATCTCATTGTTCTTATTTTTCGGATTCGGACTTTGACTAATTTATTAAATTATTTTTGGACGAAGATCCAGCAGGTTCCAATGCAAAGAGTATACTCTTGGTTCATACTTAGGATTGAAATATTCGCTTTAAGATTAAACAGATATTAACATATCTCTTTTAATATAATGCTTGTGCATATGCCCTAAAAAATAAGTGTGAAAGTTATGAATTTTCTTCAAGACAAAACGATAAATCCAGAAAACTCTTTTATGAATATCACAATTCTACAATTGATTATTGTGATAAATAAAAATTTATGGTGTCTTTCTTTACACAGATGATTTTTCCTAAAGGGTATTTTGTTTTTATTCAATCCAATAAGAAACAATCGTTTAATTTAAATTCATACATCTTGTCTAATCTTTATTTTTTAATTGTTGTCAACGTTCTTATTTCTTAAGCATTGATGACAATAACAAACAGATCCTTTTTTCTTCTCTTTTCTTTTTGTTTTTTAATTAAAAATTTCTAGGCGTTGTATGTTTTGTTTCATTTTTATTCTTATTCTTATTCTTGTCCGGAAATGCCAAATCAAGATACATAACGTGAATATAAACGAGCTAATAGTGACTTCTTTCATCAGGAATTGTCAGACACACTTTCTGTCACTGTATCTTGCACTCTCTTGGTGGTCAGTAATAAGTCTCAATAAACAATGTACCGAAGATAATGAAGAAGAAGAAGAAAACGAAGAAAAAAAGGATTCCTAATACAGGTGTATAAAAGAAAAATAACGAACGAGAAACAAGTAATTAATCATTAAACGACCGGAGACGAAAAAGAAATCAGCCAACCAATGGTTGATTTGTTCTCTTCTTTTCTTCGCCTACCTGATTGTCACGAAGTACTTTGGCATCGTCTATATGAATGACAAGATGAAGAGAAAAAAAAGTAGCCAGTCAGAATAACGTAAGAAGAATGAGAGAAAGTGACAAATATGCTCATTAAGCGGAAAATTAGAGCGAGAAGAGCAAGAGAAAAAGGCCGACAAATAATCGGATTTGCCGTCGGTCGAGTCTCTTATGACATTTTTCTTTCTTCATCCTTCTCTCTAACTATTTCGCTGTCTTTTTCATCCTTTCTCCATTTATTTCTTTTTTTCGTGTTGATAAACGTTTGCCCGATTTTTCTCTTATATATTTGTTTTGTCTCGATGCTTCCATTTGTAAGCGCATAAATCGAGCGTTCACAAGGAGCCAATTAACCAAATCCGTGAGGGCGCGTTGTCCACCCGCCCGTGTATGATCCAAAACCAGTTCCAATTCAGTGAACTTTGAATAAGGTAGGGAAGTTGCCATTACGTTGCCAAGTAACTAATAACTTTTGAAGTTACTAGTTACCGGATAACGGGTATATCTTGTCCTTAATATGTTGTTGTGTGTATGATGTTTATTTCAAGACTATGATCACACCCACACGGTCCACACACCTATGTAGAAGGCATATATATATCTGAGACGATGGAGTATACTATGAAAAGATAAATGGAGTATACTGAGGATATTTATGATACATTTTGGATATACCTGAATGGTAATAGGAGAGAAAGAAAGAGAACGAACACACATATGTTGTAGACAAAATTAAAATTCATACAATTTTAAAATTTGCCTAGGCACAATTAGAACTCAAGTAAAGATAAATTCCTACAATCGAAACAATTAAAATCTGAATAGAATAATTTTTTTATTCAAGAATATCTAAATAAGGGAATTGACTATTCACCTAGCACTGACCTTCTGTCTCTATCCATTCTATCTATGTTTCCCATGTGTGCCCGCTTGACCTCTGTCTGTGTATATATAATGCGAATGTAAGAAGAGAGAAGCTACAATTAGAATGGTGATCTAGTCCAATAAATGTCGTGCCGAATAGCATACACAGGCATTCATTTCCACTTGTCATCACGGTGATGTTATTATGTAGCTAGTAAAGTACAAGTTATTAGTTCTCAGGTGTCTGGTAATCAGTGTCTTTCGCGTTACTAGCTATCAAGTCAGGGGTAACGTCACGTACTTAATAAGTGTAATCGACAACCCTAAATTTCTGACTTGAATAAGGAAAAAATAGTTTTGAAAAATGACGATATTTTCTAAGGCTTTGATCAGAGATTTTTAGAGCCGAGAAATCGAAATCTATAAATGCTTTCTCAAAACTTGTGAGTTTGATGTTTTCGTTAGAAGAAGAATATTTTTTGAAAACAGTAAGCTTTTTCCACTCCTAGTAAAAACAAAAATCAGAATTCAAAAATTTCTAGAAGTCACTTATACATGCGATTCCTTCACCCCGAAAACCTCTAGCTAAAACTTTAGAAAACATCGTTATTTTTCAAAAATATTCTTTTTTTTATTCAGGCTAGAAAATTTGCGTTACGCGTGTAGTTATTAGATAATGGGTCGTTACTGTTATCTGGTAATTGTAACTACTGAGTAACAGTAAATTCCTTCGTTTAGATATTCGTGAATAATAAAAAAAATTTTCTGTTCAGCTTTTAATTGTTTTGACTGCATGAATTTATCTCTATTCGAATTCTAATTTTGCCTAAGTTTGATATTGCTTTTTTATTTTTCTTATTCTAGTTCATCTATACAATGGATATTCATAATAATTTATCAAGACTAAATAAAGGTAAGTGATTCTTACTTTAAATACTACATCAAACATATATATTAATTAAAAGAAAAAGTTGAAATTCAAATGCTCGTAAGGTTATTGTTTGTATATATAACAAATTCATTTATTTGTATTAAGAAATAATATGTAGAAGAACATATTATTTGTTGTTGTTTTGATAAGAAATTAGAGAATGATCAATCATTACCAGTGATTACAGTTTTTATCTATATGGTGCAATAAATTGCACGTGTTTTTACGGTTCATTTTTTTTTGCTAATCATGAATATGCAATGAGAATATTATTATTATTATTATTCTTTCAAATTTTTTGTTTTACCTAGGTCATTCAGAAATTAATCATCTTAGAGTATATCTATGTTTTTTTGACAGGTATCATCAATAAGTCGAGTTTTAAGAAATCTTGATTCTAAATCAATAGATACAGAAACATCACAGATATTCTAATCCATATTTTTCCACATGATAGATAACATTATTTTTTTTTTCATTCAGTTGTAACGAAAATTAAAGACAAGAAAAATTAAATTTTCGACATTTCTTTGTTTTTTTTTTCATTTCATAGATTTAATTGATGCAAGTAATGAGAATAAATTAATTTTAAGAGATAATTTAAATAAAAATGATGAAGTTGTACAAGAACATTTAAAATTACAACCTTATAGAATATCATTTACACAAGGACAAATTGATGCTTTAGAACAAGGTATTTTTGCTTTTATTTTTTATTTTTTGTGTATTAAATAAAACATTTTATTTAGCTTTTAATATTACACATTATCCAGATGTATATACGCGTGAAAAACTTGCACAAAAAATACAATTACCTGAAACAAGAATTCAAGTATGAATTTCTTTTCTCTCAAGAAGAAGTTAATTTTTTTCTCATTTATTTCTTTTGCAAAATAAGCTATGGTTTTCTCGTCGTCGAGCAAAATATCGTCAAGAAAATAAAAGAAAAGACCATCAACCACCTCGATCAAAGCTGTGACCTCTTCTTCGTTTGGCAGAAGAATTCTACTTTGTTCCTGTTTTTTTTCTAAATACTGTGTTATTCAAATATTCAATTAACGTTTTTCTTCTCAAAGATCTTTTTTCATAATTATAAAAAAATTTCTTGTCGATAATTGCTAGAAACATACCAAGATTGAATAATGCCTAACAAAACATGAGAGAAGTTTTCTCTTGAAAGAATTCCCGGCGATTCTACAAGATTATTACTGAGAATTACTTAAGTTAGTTTCGTTTAGACGTGCATACAACAGAGTAGATTAACTCACACTGCATCTTTTATTTTCTTAGTTGGTCTGCTCGGTTGTATGAATGGCTAGATAAAATCAAGCTAAACAGCTCTCACTAAAAATCTAGTAAAGTCGCTAAGAATTCTTTCAAGAGCAAAAAAATCTCATCTTTGTTAGGCATTATTTAGTCTTGACATATTGTTAATAGTTACTGATGTTATTGTTCTATTCTAAATGATGATGATTCAATAATAAACAAAATGATCAGATCTAAACAATTATCCATGTTTCTATTTTCTCTCACTGATTCATCATATTTTACAAAATTTGATATACTTTTTATCAGAGATCGAAACAAGTCGAAAAAAATCGCGACTCGACTCGACTTGATTTCGGTCTTTGCATTTTATATTCTCTATCGTGTAACAATGCTTATGTTAAATCAGCATTTCCACAACTGAAACAAGTATTAAATGTTAAAAAGAATTGTAATATACTGAGATGTATAAATATTTATTAGATAAACAAAATTTATTAAAATCTTATAAATTGGATGAAAAAAATATTTTCAAAAGAAAATATGTTCAATAATTCAATTTCATAATTCTTTAATTGTGTTTTTTTCTTGATTCTATCCAATAAGGACAAAAAATTTGATGTAAAGATCCTTAATTAGTACACTAGAACAAAGTTTAAAAATACCTTTACCTCAAAAAAACTGTTTTCTGGTTTTTTTTCTGCTTTTCGATTATATATCTAGGCATCTTGCCAAATTTCGAATACGGTATGGGTGTGGATATGTGTACGAATGTTGATATTGTCTTCACTAACATCCACACCCACATCTTCAAGATAATAAGAAATGTTGTTTAGCAAAATAGTGAAAGATAGTAATCAGTATTCTGTCTCTTTTCATAAGATAACAGATACCATAGTTTTTATTCGTACCTATCAATCTGTAATTGAATATGCATCAACTTCTTCTGTTTTTTGATCGTTTCTTCTTATTTTCTTCTGATAGTTTCTGATTCAAAGAACAAACCAAATAATTCATTTATTCGATTCAATTCCAATCTCTGATGTGTAACTGATGTATTTCATAAGAGCTAAAAGAAATGTTTTTTATTTAATGAAATATTATGCAAAAAATGAAAGTAAATCAAATAAAATGTCTCTATCTGTAAAGATGTGGAATCAGAAACCTCAAATTAAGTTTACATCGACATGAATATCTGGTTTGAGTTCTAAAAGAAATAATTGATACCTTCTTCAAGTGACATAACAATTCTTGATAAATGTTGATATGATCAAAAAATTGATGTTATTTTAAAACTCGGCATTATCTGAATCTATATAATAGAATATCTTATAATTATTTCAAAAGAAAAATTCTTTTAAAACACTTTAAATGATTATTTAAAAATAAATGTTTTTCTCGATTTATTTTTCCAATAATAAAAATAAATAAACAAATTTTAGAAAAATTTGTATTTTTATATAAAAAAGTCAGTTATGGTGCAGGTAATGAAACAGAAAGCATACTAATTGATGAACGACGAGCCTCCTAAATATTGAAATTGAAGAAAAATTATTTTATTGAAAAAAAGACTTACTTGATGAATTTGCTCGATTTCTATAGACAAACCAAAATATATATTTTTATACAAATATCTGAACATTTTATTTATAGTTAAATATGATTTCAATGATATAAAAGAGAGATTAGTTTTATTTTTATTAAGAAAATGAATTTTGACTTAAGTTATATTGAAATTTAATCATTCTTACCTGCTTGACCGAGGTTATAATCAGATTCGGTCTTTAAAATATCTATTATAAAAGAAAAAGTTTTATTGATAAAATAATGAAAATGAGTCAAACCATTATCAATAGGCAAATTTGAATGTCTTCGTTGCACTGAACTATGTTCCTTTTTTGAAAACTTGCTTCCCATTATTTTTAAGAATTTGACGCACTTCGTATCTATATAAGTGTGTTTTTTTTACCTTGAAATTCGTATGAAGTATCAACAGAGCTTATTTATACCTGAAGAATAAATATGTGGGTGATACTTGTTTTTATATTTCGCTTTAAATAAACCTCCGCGTATAGTTTAAATAGATTTTACATCATACAATTTACGTATATAGATTTATTCAACTGGTAACGAATAATATCAAACTTCAGAATTTTGAATTATTGAGTAATGAATCATTTAATGTCAATAAATATTATAAATTTTTGTTATCATTTTTAATTATAAATAAGTAAGTCTTATATGAATAAAATCATTGGAATATATTTTATGTCGTCGAAAGAAAATCGAAGAATTTTCCATTATATTCAATTGAATACAAATATTTATTTTATATTAGTTATTCTCTTATTAGTAAATAAACAAAAACAAATTTTGTATTATTTCATTTTAATAATTTCATCAATACAAAAAATGAAATTTATTTTAGAGATTTTCAAGTTTATTATCGATATATAATAAGAGAGACGAGAATAATTAAATAAAAATACTAATTCAATTTATTTCAATGGTATTCATTGTAATTACCACTAGCATTTAATTGATTAATAATGTTCGTTTCTACATTACCAAAAATAAGAGCCATGCACTCATTCACTTAGTCATTTTTCTCGTTCTCTTACTATTTATACTCTATGAATATGAGGAGGAATTCGTTCTCCTGTGATATAAAATAACACGATCACATTGCCATCGGGCTATAAAACAGAAAATTTTATTCGCAAAATATTATTCAATATGTATCACAATAAGTCACATCGACAAGTAGCTCATAATGATTGCGTCAGTCATTTACTACTTGACAAGTTGTAATCGTATTTGTTTTAGACAAGACATTTACTGTTATATGGATAGACTGGAATTATAAAAGAACAACGAAAGTGAATATAATGATTGCACCACTCAGATTTGTATCGAATATCATATCTCAAAGAAAAATGTTGAATGGCGAAATAATCAACTCGATCGGCTGAACCATTGTCGTGGCAGAAAATAGATATCTCCATCATCATTTTTCAGAGATGTCCTTGACTAATCTCTTATCAGTATATTCTTCAGCATTATTTCATAATTTGTTGAAAAAAAGAAATTTTTTAAAAAGTTCTCAGAAACTTTCAATTGCTGTCGATCTATGCACCGGCTTACATCTCTACAAATAACCATTTACAAAAATTAAATCAATATAAACACGTTACCGTACTCATGATGAGAACAAAGCTTTTTTTCTTAACAAAAATATTTCGAATATTGATAATATGTAGAGAGGGAATAAGTTTTTGCAACACAAGTCTACAAGAATATCGCCGGATAAGATCGTAAATCTGTCACTCCCTCCCCTGAATTACGATTTCAATAGATTAGAATGATAGAGCATGAAATTCTGCACATTTCTCTGTATTTATTTTTTTATTTTGTTGAAACAAAAACAACAAACTTTCAGGGACCAAATACTTTTAGGGGTCTTACCTAGGCTGTGGGCGTAGATATGGGTGTGCGTGGATGTAGGTGTGGGTGCGGGTGTTTCTTTTCTCTATCCACATCCACATCCACACCCATAAAAAGTAATGTAGTTTTATTGATTTTCATTAAATTGATTCATTGTCACGCAAATAATCGAGTAATAGTTTTCTAGTGAAATATTTTTAAAGTTTGATTCTGTTTTTCAAATAGTGAAAAAAAACAAAATTTCCTTTAGCGAAGAAGTAAAATCTAACACTTTAAACTTCGAATGGATGAGATTTTCAACATTGGAATTGTCTTCATCTTATAGATGATTTATCTTACTATTTGGAAGATAAAATAAAACGTTAACAAGATTGCACTACAAACCTGTTAATCAATTATTTACATTTACATGAAGATAAATCTATTTTATTGACATAAATGAAACTAGATTACTTTTTTAATGCTCTTTAACTTCTGACTTTCTACTAACCGATATTACTTGGTTTCTGTTATTTATTAATAAATATTGCATTTCACTATTGATTGCAATATTACGGTATATGAGTTTATATCTATTCTTCACCAGTTTTAATACGTTATCTCTATCAACGCAGTAAACTATCTATAGGTATAATGCATTAAAGCGTTCTCCATTGGAATGCATTGTATATAGTCAAAAATGTCTAAAAATAAAAGTTATAACGAGATTGAACTATAAGAAAAAGGCTCCGTTAATACAGGTTTTTTCTGACATTTTTGACTGTGCACAATGCGTTGCATAAAAGAAAAGAACGAACTGTTTTAATGCGTTAATTTCAATATTTATAACTGCATAGGTAATGAGAGAACCTTCGCAGATATCTGCTTCCGATTTCAATATTTTCTTCCATATAGATGCTACATAGTGTTCTAATAAAAACTCCATAAGGATTTTCATTCCTACTGAGATTTAATTATACTATCGAACTTTGAATATATTTATTTTCTGGTAATCCATGTACGATGTCAGGTTATCGGAAAAATTATGTTTTTGAATTTTGATTTGAAACTTTGCGTTTATAGAAACGTCGACCAAACTAGCTTCCATGAGAAAATTCAAAAGAATTGAAAAAAGTCTCTTCAAGATATAGAACAATTCGAGATATAAGCTCGTGTCCATATATTATTTATGTAATATACATTTTTTTTGAAAGCTTCATATCTTGAAGAAAATTTATTCCAAATGTCTGAAGCTTTTTTGCATGAAAGCTAATCTGATCGACATTTTGT